GCTGCGTCACAGCCATGGTGAACAGAATCTCAGTGTCCAGAGGCTGGAAGCCGTGCAGACTGAGAAAACTTTGAAGAGCCGGAATCAGTTTAGGTGTTAAAACCCTGCGAATAATGTCCGTAAAGTGAAAATCGTAAAATAATTCATTTTCAGCTACGTAAAGACATTCGTGTTGCCGTTGACTGGGGTGATCGATCTTGCATCCGTGGCAGATGGTTGGTAAGTGAGCTTTGATCGCCATGTTGACCAAGTGAAGAAGACCCATTTTCACACGGTCTACTTTGTCTTCTGAAAACACCCAGTCAGGCAGACGGTGAGGCTCCTCATCGGTGCTCTGGATGTCGAGGGGTTGCACATCCTCCTCCTCCTCATGACCTGGCGGCGGCTCAGGGTTTGATGTCACCAAAGGTGGATCAGCCCCATCGACCCAGGGCCTGAATGGTACGTTCTCCGGAACCTCCATGATGGTGGGGAGTCGTGGTAGGTTATCCTCTGGAAAACACGATGGGGCCGATGCGGGCCTCGGACTGCCGTTGTATCTCGGCGGTGGTGGTGATGGTAGCGATCTGGACCTCGGACTGGTGTTGTATCTCGGTGGTGATGAATCCGTTAGTACCCAGCTCGGTGGTGGGCTCCAAAGGTCTTTAAGGGTCGTCTGATTGTAGAAACCCGTCATGCTGATGCTTAGATCGTCTGGATGAAATGGTTTCTAACTGTAAGCTCTTTATAACTAGTGCTGGATGGGGGGCGTGGTATGATGATGCAACCTCCTCCTCCTCCTCCTAAGGCAGGTCTTAGAACTCCAGCTTTTTTCGCACTGTCAGAATGTCGTTCCAACAGCGGCTGGTACGAAAAAATGAAGTAATACGATCCTCCACTTCATTTATTTTTTCACACCAGGCTTCGAAAGGTACAACCTGTAGAAGGCGGTAAATTCCGCATACAGAATGCACATTCTCCAGCACAAAAAAGAGCTCAAATCCTCTCACACGGACCGAGGCCTTGAACATCCACTCTCCATCAGCATCCTCTTCCCCCTCCCATGAAGCGCTGAATGCTGTCACAGCGTTCTGGATTTCATCCAACGTTGGAAGAGCTTGCGGCCCGCTGCGATTGACTGGCGGACGAGGTCTCTCAGGATCATCTCTGTGCACCTTGCGTGGAACAGCCAGCCTGAGCACAGCCCAATCGTTGTAGGAGAGAACCGCTGGTGAGTTTGATAAATAGGATTTAAGAGGTTCGCCCTCAGCCACATCTTGGATTAAACACAGTTCCTTAGTGTCGTAGCTGAACCGGTATCCAAAACTACCGCTATAGCCATAAGGTTCCAACTGCCATATTTGCTCCAAGATCTCTTTACCGCCGAAAGGAGGAACCTGCACTCTGCAGATGTAAAATGTAGATTTGCGGGGGGCACCAATTCCAGCCGGCATCTGATGTATAGCGATGGATTTTTCACAAAGCATGGTTTTTGACAGCGGTATATCCACGCTCTCTTCTTTCACTTTTTGAGTTGAAGTTGAAGCGTCTGATGTAGTAGGCACCTCTTCAGCGCGGCCTGGTGCTTCATTCAGCTCCTCGTGGTTCATCATTTTTTCTTAGAGCTCGGCTTTTCACCATTCGGACAGATCTGAGCTTTTAAAGAGTTAAACACAATAGGATTACACTCAGAAGGGAGGGGCTGTGGGAACCGATGGGCTATCACAAAAAAGAAACCACACACCATTACACACATTAGCCTATGACGTGGGATATCATGGATGCTCAACAATACGCCATTGATGATGCGGCGTGGGGGGTCTAGACCATCTGGACACGTTCAACAATACGCCATTGATGATGCGGCGTGGGGGGTCTAAGCCATCTGGACGCTCAACAATACACATGTCCATTTGATTAATGATACGGAAGGGGGGGCAAAGATTGAACAATACACCTGTCCATTTGATTAATGATAGGAAGGGGGGGCAAGGTCAAGGGTCAAATGAACAATAGGAATGAAAGGTCAAAGAACAATAGACCTGTCAAAATGTTTGACGAAAGGTGTCTTATAATACTCTCTGCCATGTTGTAGGTGGTTGAAAGATACTAGTGAGAGGCCATGTTTATCTGTGTGCATATCCCTTCCGGCCGGCACTCGGCGCGTGGTATACGTCACTAACGCGACCACCCTCTTTTGCGGGGGGGCCTCCCACAGACGCTCCAAAGGGATTAGCGGGGCTGACACGCGTTTAGTCTTCAGAGGCGAGGGGCTCATGCGGCAATATTACTACGAGGCTAAGCGCATCAGAATCGAGTTTTATCACCTTTCCCCTTTGCTCCTTGCCGCATTGACGAGACCCACAAATTCGGATTTATCACTCTGTAATGACGCGATGGTCTGTCTTATAAAAGAGGCTTTAGTGACCACAGTGGATCCATCTTCTGATGGCTCCTTCCAGCAGGATAATGCACCATGTCACAAAGCTCAAAATATCTAAACGTAAAAATGACTGGCGAGTGTAATTATTAAATCTTATAAGAAACAGATCAGCTGAGTGAACTTCAACCAGGTGTGGCCATAATAAATGTTTGATCCAAACACCTGACACAGTCTTTGGGTCTTTGCTGGTAGTTCTGAGAAACGAGCCTTCCACTTATAATCTAATCTTATCAGATGTTGCAAATATAATTTACCCTTCACATCGGAGTTCCTGTTTTTGTTATGCATACATGCATATTTCTAATTAACAATGCCAACCGTTCAAAATCAAATAACTAAATGAAGCAATGGTGACAAAGATGTGATGATGGCATTTGACCTGTAAATTCATGCAGCTGTTGCAAGTCACGGATTTGCCGCTGAAAAATAAGTTCTAAAAGCTCGATTACAAATAACGCAAAGAGCTGGATTTAAATAACCTGCATATTCAAATTTCATTTACAATGATCTTTTGCTGTCAAACACATATACAGCAGTGCTAAAGGAGCCAGGCTAGTTTCTCCATAGATTTGGAGGAAAATGCATTACAAAGACACTGAATGCATCATTTACGGTTTTATGAATCTAGATCACATATCAAATTACAGATTTGATGCTCAAACAGTCGAGGAGAAGAATAATATTATGTCCCCACCCTTTACCAGAGCTGCTGAGCAGCAAAGCGAAAGTGGTTTTGCTGAGCTTCTCCCAAGCGTGATATGTAAATGTACAAGTGAGAGAGCAGCGCAATAACCCCCAGGGTAAATAAAGGTTAAAAGAAGCAGAAAGCAGTATGTCTCTTTAGATAAGTGACTGAAGGCTTTATAGGTGAGAAATAAAATGCAAAATAAATAAATAAATAAATAAATAAGGAGGAGCAATGAAGAGGACAGAAGAAGTTGCTGATGGAGCAAAGAGGGTTGCAGAGGATATCAGCCAATATATTAGGTAGAGATATAATTGGATATAGCTCATCAAAAAATAAATGTGTTGTAGGAGCTGAAGCAAACATCAATCTGAAAGGGATAAAAGTCTAATGATTGTGTTTTAACAGCAAGCATAAAGACAGGAGGAGTGAAAGTAGGATTCTGATCGTGTGACATGGATGTCCCATTTCTAGCAGCATCCTAAGTATCTGTATAATGTTTACTAATGTGCTGCTGAAGCTGAAAGAAAGAAAGAAAAAAAAAACAAGGGAAGCCTCTGAAAAACTGCAAAGACAAAAAGGAAAAGCCCAGGGAAGCCCTCAGTGCAGCCTCTGCAAACATGAGGAGGATCCCCCTCTTCAGTCCTGCACATGCTGCAGTCCTGCTGCTCATTAAAACTACAGTCACACTTCGCTTCTGCACCATGCACATTTGCATCAAGCCTGCAGAAATGAGATCGAGCAGCATTAATTAAAACATCAAAGGTCCACTCTACAATTCACTGCTTGATATTGGCAACCAAAATGAAATGGTTTAAAACGCTATTCGAGTCGCTCCGGATACGATTGTGCAACAATGATGACAAACAAAAACCTTAAGTGCAAAAACGCAGCGACAAAACACCGAGCGTTGCAGATAATGGGGGAGAGGAGGAGCGTGGGACAGTTAAGAGTCGTTCATCCCAAAAGCAGCCTTCAGGGTAGCCCAGCTCCACTGCGTCAAGGCGCAGAAACACGGGAGGAAACCGGAAAATACGCAACGCTGTTTTCAAGATAAACGGATGGAGAATGAAAATAAGTGTGATCATTCATTTTATTGATCAGATTTGAGTTCTGACTTGGGTGGTTTTTATTTGGAGAAAGATTCCTCTGAAGCGGCGGCATTTCTCTGAAACACCAAACAAGCGCAACTCCAGATTCCCTGCTCAGCGACAGCTTTATTTTGAAGCGCATTTTTCTGCTGCTCTGACAGGAGGCGCATTAATGTCAGCAGAGACTTACTCCAATCACACACACTGTCGCACTAATGAAGCAGCTCCACTAATAAGGTTACACGCGTTCGTGTGGTCGTGGCCCAATTTATCAGGGAGGGAAAGCTTCCATGTAATAAAATCAATGTGTCTCTGTACAGGAGCAGTTGGGGCATGAATATCAGAGTGTATTCCTTATGGGTCAGAACGAACACACACACACACACACACACACACACACACACACACACACACACACGGGCCATGCACGCAGAGCCTAACTCCCATTAGACTGGGAAACACTTTGAATGAAAGTGTTGAATAGAAAGCTTAATGTGCATCTGACACAATCCCCGCAGCCTGTTCAAGATTTCACTTACGCGCCTTAAACTTCGTGAGAACAAGACTTACCACGAAACAGGCTTTAAAAATCTAATGATGACTCATTTTCTCTTAGTTAGAATAACTTAACAGGTATGCGTAAAGGCACCAACACACTCAAAGGGAGGTCGTCCATCAGCTCCACATGGTCCAAATCAGCAGCCAAGAGATGCCCGCATACCACGCGCGCAAGTGCGCACAGGAAACACGCGCACACGCTATGCACAAACAGATGGAAACAATAAACCAGACGCCTCCTTACCTCGTGTTTCTAGTGCGCGCTGAAAGCTGCGAGCATGTTGGGTTGTGTTGGAGCGGAAAACCAAGAACTGTCCTCCCGTTCTGCGTCCTGTCTCCACGCTGCTGACTGGCTCGCTCTGAGTGCCTCAACCCCACCAGAGAACACACAAACAGGAGCACGGGCGCCATCCGTGCGGTGCGCGCGCGCACACACACACACACACACACGGCGCGCAAGCAGGCGGGGTGTGGAAGAGCGAGGCTGCCCTCGGGTGCGCAGATGGATGGAGTCGAGATGTGCATGGGTGAGGAGACGAAAGGAGGATTAAAGATGAAAAAATATTAAATTAATAGCGCACCGGGGCAAAAATATAAAAAAATTAAAGAAACATCAAAAGAAAATTAAACCTATGAAATTCTTTCTGGTTTTACTTAGGCCTGACCACATGTCAACTGGTTCCATTAAACCTACTTAAAGGTACACTATGTAAAAAAATTACTGTGAAATGATTACAAAACAATCAAATGTCTCAGTTATGTTGAAACACAGTCAGTGATTGCCAGGTTTTCTCCTTTTATAAAGGCTGCAAAGTTGTTTATAATCTGTCTTACCTTCATGCTTCCTGGTTTAAAAGCCAATCATATGTGAGCCTGTGGGGTTGCCAAGTCCTCCACACAAACACTGTGCTGACATTTATAATTCAACACCTGCAGGCAAAGTGCAGCAGCGTTGTGGACAGAATGAAAGCCAGAATCAAACCACAGTTATTCATTGTACCCATAAGAAAACATCCTTTTTTCACTCTAATAAAGAAAGCTAGAGGCTAACGTTGAGCTAAAAATGCTAACAGCGAATAGCCGGCTGTAAAAAATCCCAAGTTCCTTTTTCAATTACCAACATTACAGTGAAATGCATTTATCTACTTATCAAGTTACTGTGTATGACTCATCTTTGCTCATCATCCAGAATCTTCTGGCACGGATCCATAACTGGCAACCAGCATGAAACTCACAAAGGGAACAAGTGGCTGAGCACAATAAAGAAGTCAGCTGTAACAGATCACTGCATAAGAGAAACCCATATAATGGACTGGGACAACACAAGGATCATAAACATTGAACAACAACAATACAAGAGATGGATTAAAGAAGCAATCGAGATAAGGAGACGTGGATGTGGGACCATGAACAGGGATGACGGAGTGTACACATTGGACTGCGCATGGGACTGCATCGTCGGAGAGGGGAGAGCGGGCAGCAGAGGGCGACAACGTCCTCTGCTGCCCGCGGATAAACGGAGAAGGAAGTGATGCGCCACCATCAGCGTCAGCCTGAGGAAGCCTGCAGCCGCCAGCGAAACGTTGCGACAAAACAGGTAACTAAACCGTTTCTGTGTTTTCAAAAAAGAACGACAACATGGAATTAGAACTAATACACAGCAAGAACACACCTAAGATGTTCAAAGTGGCTGAGAGCGAGCTCTTGTTTTGATAAATGGACCTCAGTACCAGACTTGACCACTAAAAGTTCTTAGATCATGCACCTTTAAATGTAAAGAGTAACATCCATTGGTGTACATTTTTATGTTAAAAGTAAATGTATATTAAAACATGAGAAAAGAAATTGATAGATCAGAGGAGAAAAGGGAAAAATTGGGAAAAACAAAGGATCAAACTGCTAACAGGAAGTTTTGAGAAAAGGGAGGAGAAAACCAGAACAAACTGATTGTAAAATGATTTTTTCAACAACCTTTTAAAGCATTTTATTAATAACCAAATGTGGATTTCATGCTTTTTCTCAGGTGAGCCAGTAACTGTAACCTTGGTCCTCAGGGAGAAACGAGGGTGTATCAGTCAGTTTCCAGCAGAACCAATTACTTAAACACTGTGCCACATTTCAGGCTCCTGCTGACCAAGCAGGTCTGAAACAGTCAATCAGACATTAAATCCTCCAGAGTGCATCCAGTGGAGTCGATCAGAGTTATAACTGCTGCTCTCACATCTACTCTACTTCCCCCTCATTTCCCAATACAATTTCAAATGTTTGTTTTAGATTTACGTTGCTGTTGTGAATAGCATGGTTTTACAGCTATAAAGCCTCTTTCTCCAAGCAGGGTTGCATTGTTTTGATGTAGTATTTAACACATAAGATAACAGCTGTCTCCAACCTCAAACACACAGATTTCCTTTTGCCAAAAAGTGAAACAGAAAAGGTAGTTTTTGATTTGAGTTTTGTGAATTCCTACCTCATGGTGGAGGAGCTGGACTTTCCAAGAAACCACAGAAGCCATTGTTTATCCCCCGCAGCTGAAACTGGTGTTTGGGACATGGACTATTACATCTCTGGTGGGAATGACTCCATTAATAAAGGTTACGTGGGTGGGGTTTGGGATTAGGAAGCATCACCTATCCTAGACTGTTTTACTCTAGAGTGGCTTATGAGACAAGCAAATGGGTTTGGCTGTAGTACCAAAGACAAGGAAGTTTTCCCAGTTGATAAAGAGGAGGTTTCATTGGAACTTATGGTCTCCAGCATAATTGAACAGCTAGGATGAGGATCAGCACCTCCAAATCTGAGACCATGGTTCTCGACCGGAAAAAGGTGGCTTGCCAACTCCGGGTCGGGAGAGAGGTCCTACCTCAAGTGGAGGAGTTTAAGTATCTTGGGGTCTTGTTCACAAGTGAGGGTAGGAGGGTTCAGGAGATCGACAGGCGGATTGGTTCGGCGTCTGCAGTGATGCGTTGGAGAGCTGTTGCCTTGCAGCAAGAAGGTCCTGGGTTTGCTTCCCAGCCTGGGATCTTTCTGCATGGAGTTTGCATGTTCTCCCTGTGCATGTGTGGGTTCTCACCGGGTACTCCGGCTTCCTCCCACAGTCCAAAAACATGACTGTTAGGTTAACTGGTCTGTCTAAATTGTCCTTAGGTGTGGGTGTGTGTGTGTTAGTCCTGTGTGTCTCTGTGTTGCCCTGCATGGACTGGCTCTCTGTCCAGGGTGTACCCCGCCTGATTGCCCGTTGACCGCTGGAGATAGCCCCCCCCGACCCTACATGGACAAGCGGGTTCAGAAAATGGATGGATTTTTTAAACTTTCTAATTTACATAAAAACTAGGTTACACACAGCTTTGACTGTTTAGCATGTTGTTTTGTGCTATCTTTATTCACAAACAAGAAAATGTTGGTTTTGATTCTTTGTCCCCTTTTAAGAAACATGTCTCATCAACCATTTAATTCAATTCTAAATCAGAACAGTTTGAAGTAATTAATTTTTTCAAGCAACTCCTAAAAGCAAAGAGACCCCAGATCAACTTCCATACTGCATTATAAAAACACAGACAGGAATGAAAACCTTTGACTTCTGGCTAAAATATTGTGCATCTAGATGCGCACAGAAAACGCACTGAAACACACACACACACACACAATGAATTAAATTACACCACAATCAGTCGATGCAGTTTGCTAGCTACAGATAGGCAATCTACTGTGCCACCTGACTCCCACTATGCAGGTGCTGTTGTGATGAAGAGTACACAGAAACAGAAATAGATCATACTGTCTGAGATCAACATTTCCAGGACTTTTGTGAAGGAAATTTCTGGGTGCAAAGAAGATCTGGCAGTATAGGACTGCCTTCTAAAGATCTATAGCACCATGAGGAGGAGAGCTGTGAGAGATGTCCTGGTGTCAGCAAGGGCAGGAAAAAATCCCTCAAGGGACTGGACTGCTAGGGAAGTAGTTTTCTCTCGTAAATCCGCTGAACGTTTAGTGTTTAAAATTTGTCAGCATTCTCTGGTAATATATATAAAGCTGTACCTCAACCACTAAGCTTTTACTAGTAGATATTTGTCATGACTCGAGGTAAGTGCCTAACCCAAGACATGCAGAATCATCACACGCAGTCCAAAGCAGTAAAGTAAAATGTCTTTATTATAATAACGGTAACTGAAACCGCACAGGGAAGTCCTGTGGGGATGAGCAATACGGCTCGAGTCTCTGAGGTGCTCAGGTTAATCAGGAGATGAGGGGAAGCCGGGAAGGACTCTGGGCAGAGGCTGAGAGGTCCAGGAGAGGTGAGGTAGCAGAGGGAAAGCCAAACAGGAATGGCGGAGGAGGATGGGACGTGATGAGTATATTCCAGAAAACGAAGACAGTGAGGGTGAGTAGATGATGATGAGATCCTGAACTGGTGCAATCATCCGGCAAGGTGAAATGTCTCCATCCTCCTTTTAAACCTGTGTTACTGATTTGGGAATCACCTGCAGCTGTTGCTCCCTCTGCTCCTCACCTGTGGAGAATCAACTCAGACTCTGGTGAGAGGCGATGGTGTGACTCACCTCTGCAGGAACATGACAATATTTTACATTCCATCTTTCAGTTCTTTTTAAAACACAGAAAAGGTTTATTTACCTGCAACGTTTCATTTGCGGCTGCAAACATCATCAGTAAATAAACCTTTTCTGTGTTTTAAAAAAGAACTGAAAGATGGAATTTGAAACTCAACACAGCAAGAACACACCAAAGATATTTTACATTCCATCTTTCAGTTCTTTTTAAAACACAGAAAAGGTTTATTTACCTGCAACGTTTCATTTGCGGCTGCAAACATCATCAGTAAATAAACCTTTTCTGTGTCTTAAAAAAGAACTGAAAGATGGAATTTGAAACTCAACACAGCAAGAACACACCAAAGATATTTTACATTATCCCAGCTTGACTACCGGCTCTTGTAAAAGGCGAGCAAGCATCCTCAGCCTCCATCAAGCCAACAAAATGCTTTACATGATGCATTACATCCAAATTAAATCAGTCTACCGTCAGGCCTCTTGTTTTTCATCCCAATCTGTTTGCTTTTTGGGTCCCTTTTTTCTCTCTTCTTCTGACACACAAACACAAACATCCACACACCATGCCGGAAAAACAAATTGAATTGTGATAAGTGGCCTTGCCAGCTTAAGTGAACAGTGAGGAGGCGGATGAGGGACGGCCAGAGAACCCTCTTAAAAACAGAGAGCTGCAAAGACAGACCAGACAAGGTAGGAGGACTGCAAACAGTAGAGATAAAAGCAAAGACAGCGATGTATAAAGAGGTTTTTAATAAAAATAATAATAACAATAACCTTTCTGTAAGGAGACAAAATACATTTTTAAGTCGGAAATTGTTTAAGAAATAAGTGATAAGACCTTAAAGAATGGTTTGTCCTTAAGCTTTTAAACAACAGAAT